GACTGGCGTCAGGTCATAGCTCAGGATGCCACTGTTGCTGTAAGGCTTCCTCCGAGCCAACTTTCTTCTCCTCACTCTTGTGCCACAGTCAGCACAGAGTAGCACCAGCCCTTTCCCCCTCCACTTCTCTCAAGGAGATGCCCAAGAATCTGGACTCCATAGGTAACAAACCTCCAGATCTCAGGGTGGGTGGGTGGGTAATCCTCAGAGTTCAATGTTGTGGGTGGGGAATATATACAGTTTTACAGTTTTATGTCTTGCAGGAGGGTTCCATGGCATGCCAGCAGGGGGTAGGAGGTCCAGTTTTTAGGGGGTCTTTCCCATGGGATAAAGTGGGAGGATGTTTGAACTGTGCTCGTTTGTTTGCACGGATTAAACTGCGAGCCCTTCTTGTGGGGGAGGGGACTTCTGTCCGCTTGGTGGTGGATTTTCTACCTTTTGATTGTATTTTTGGGGTTGCAGCTCACCTCAGGTAGGTTGAAGTGCGCTCTTCAATCTTCTCTCTTGGCTCCGCTCCAAACCATCAACTCCCTTGCTAAAATTCTGTCCTTTAAGCCTCCTTCTGGATGGGAGCTTCTGTAAAAAGCTGGCTGCAGTCCTGACTTTTTTTCTTAAAGTTGTGACTATGATGTATGCTGGGTAGGGCTGTTTGGCTTTGCTGCTGGGTGTGTTCAGTAGCAAAGACTCTGTATGATTTTCTTGGTGATAAATACTCTTAGTGTGATGGCTTTCTCTAATACTGGTTGTAGTAGCAGTGTATCAGATGGGTGAATGGTCTCATAACCTCCTGAGAAGCCAGGGTAGCATGGGTGAAAGTGTTGGCAGAGGTGCTGGCGTGTCTCATTCTGAGTGCTATGTATTTGTGTCAGCAGATATCATAATGGACTGTACATGTGACCTCTGGGCCAGTAGGTGGTTGTCATAGATAAGAGTCAGCTGCAGTGGTGGTAGTAGGTATATGCTTGATATTTTTAACCCAGAGGAGTGCTGTAGAGTTCTAGTTGGTGAATTGAGCCTGGAGTGCTCATGGGCCTGAGTCCTGTCTTCCCTGTAGGAGGGGGTGGTGAAGCTGGGCATAACCAGACTAGGGAGGGCTGCGCTTAGGCACCTGAATGCCAATGCAAGTGCCAGCCCTGACAGAGAGGTGGAAGGGAGTCCTTGAGCCTCTGATGTAATGTTTGTGTATTGGGCAATTGCTGCTGCACTGAGGTCTCCACATGGGGAGGGCAGAGGCAGTCTCAGTGCCAAAGACTGCAGTCTGAAGCTGGGATGCTGCTGCCAAAACCCTCCCTCTTGTCACTTCTCAGTAGTTCCAAGTTCCTCTGAGCTCCTGGCCAGTCTTGAGCAAGTTGATGTTTCACTTCCTTCTTTTGTGCCTCCTGGTTTCCTCATGAATTCTCCATTGGGTTGTATTCTCTTCCAGGCATGAGTATCTATTTGTAATTTTGGTTCCCCTTTGTAGGGAAAACTGCATCCAACAACTCTAGTGTGTCATTTCAAACAACCCTCACCTTTGTGATGGTTCTGTCTCTTCACATTACTCCTCTGGCTCTTTCTCTGGGCCCCTCTGTTAATGCTGAGTTCCCAGGGCTGCATTTTGGACTCTCCTTTCTGTATTCACTGATGGACTTAGTAAATTCTTCTAGTACCATAACTGAATTTCCCATAAAAGGAATATTTCTTTTTCTTTTCTTTTCTTTTCTTTTTTTCTTGAGACAGTCTCACTCTGTTGCCCAGGCTAGAGTGCTGTGGCATCATCATAGCTCAGTGCAACTGTAAACTTTTAGGCTGAAGTGACCTCCTGCCTCAGCCTCCTGAGTAGCTCCTACAAGTGCTCCTTCATGGCACCCAGCTAGTTCTCCTATTTTTTTAGTAGAGCTGGGGTCTTGCTCTTGCTTAAGCTGGTCTTGAACTCCTGAGCTCAGGCAGTCCTCCTGCCTTGGTCTCCCAGGTGTGAGCCACTGTGCCCAGGCAAAGGAAGATTTCCAAATCCATATTTCCAGTGCTGGTCATTCTTCAGAGCTCCAAATTGTGACTGTCTAGTTTGCTTCTCCTTTTGGCTGCTTATTTGCCATATCTAACTTTGTATATTGACTTGACTTTCTTTCCCGACTATTTTTTCAACACTCTTCCCCATTCAGGGTATAAGACCAAATTTCATTGAGTCATTCAAACCATGATCCAGGATTCATCTTTGATTTCTCCCTTTCCTTTCCTCTCTACATCAAATGTATCATCAATCTTGATGAATTTTATTTTCATAATATGACTTGAACCAGTTTCATTTCCTTCAGTGTCTCTGTGGGCTTTGGTCCATTCCTTTGTCATCTTTTGCTACAAACATGACTAAGTTTTTCAGGCTTATTTCATTGGGTTCCATTTTTTTTTTTAATCTACTATGTATATTTTAAAATCTGGAAATAGGGAGATCTTCTACAAAAAGATTACTCACATTACTCCTTGGCTTAGACACTTGAGTGGATCCTTGTTACACCTAGAACATAAACCACATCACTCCCTTTCAATGTATCTGTTGTTGCTCTGAGAACTTTCCCTTCTTATTTGAAGAGCAGCACAATCCATTATGATAGCCACATGAGGCTATTGATTATGTGAATTGAGATGTATTATGAAATTTAAATATACCCAGATTTTGAAGACTTAATATGAAGAAAAGTACATAAATATCATTTATTTTTATGTTGGTTACTTGTTCAAATGATAAGATTTTGGGTTAAATGAAATGTATTACTGAAAGTAATCTCATCTTCTTTTTGCTTTTGAAAAATGTGGCTGCTTTAAAAACAAAAATTACATTTGGGGCTTGTATTTTTACATTTCTATTCAACAGTGGTGTTCTTGAGAAATTCACTTATCTAGGTGGTAGGTGTAGCTCAGTGGGTAGGGCCCTGGCCATATACACTGAGGCTGGTGGGTTTGAACCTGCCCCAGGCCAGCTAAACACCAATGACAACTGCAACAACAATAAAAAAATAGCCAGTGTTGTGGTGGGCACCTGTAGTTTCAGCTACTAGGGAGGCTGAGTCAAGAGAATGGCTTGAGTCCAAAAGTTTGAGGTTGTTGTGAGCTATGATGCTACAACACTCTACCAAGGGCAACAAGGTGAGACTCTGTCTCAAAAAAAAAAAAAAAATAAATTCATTTATCCATTCAATAAAAGTTTATTATGTGCCTTAAAATTTTAAGGATGAACACAACAGACAAAAACATACTAATTAAATATACTACATGGGCCTGGGAGTGGTGGCTCATATCTGTAATTCTGGCAACTCTGGGAGGTAGAGCAGTTGGATTGGTTGAGCTCAGGAGTTTAAGACTAGCCTGAGCAAGAGTGAGACTCCTGTCTTTACTAAAAGACTGTTGAATATAAAAATAGTTTAAAAATAGAAAAACTAGCAGGGCATGGTGGCACATGCTTGTCGTCCCAGTGATTGGGAGGCTGAGGCAAGGGGATCACTTGAACCCAGGAGTTTGAGGCTGCTGTGAGCTACAATGATGTCAATGCACACTACCTAGAGTGGGACTCAGTCTCAAAAAAAAAAAAAAAACCAACAAAAAGATGCTACATGGAATGTTTATGCTATAGGCAAAATGATAAAGACTATGACAAACAAAAGTTAATAAATACATTAGCATGTCTCTTAGCATTTGTAGAAATCCACTCATGATGATAACTTTACCAATGTTATACTGGCATTTGGTTATTTTAGTTCAAATATGTTATTATAATTTAAATTAAATATATACCTTCCTTTATAATAGTTCTTCCTTAGGGATAGCATCATATATCATGTCTTTCCTTCATCAGTGTGTTTTTATCCTCTGGAATTGATGTTCTTTATTAACATATGTGAGATCCATTCTGAATAGCTTCCTACATCCCTTCTCTGCTTTCTCCCTATCATGGTTTCATCTCTTGGATCAACACAATTGAAAATTTTTCTTTCATTTGATCTGCTAGGCCTAATTCAGCTTTAAGTCTGGGTTGACCTTTCATTCAAATATATCTACTGATATTTTACACTTAATAAAATATGTAAATAATTTATTGCTCCATAATTTTCACAGTGGACACCCTGGTGTCTCTAGCACCCAGTTCAAGACAAAGAACATCACCAGTGTCCCCAGTGCCCCCTTGGAAGTTTCCCAGTCACTATATCCTAAGCATGCCTACTAACTGAACTAAATAACACCACCTACGACCATTGTTTTTAGTTTAAATTTTTGCTTGTTAATTCCATAGTCTCTTTTGAGTTGTACATGAGCCTTCTCAAAGGTGATTATTGTCTTATTTTTGAGATCTATTCTATGTCTTTGGTGGCTGCTCAGATAGTTCCGAGGTATCTTTTTATGCTCTGGTTGCTGGGCTTTCAGAGGGGATATCATTCTTCCTTATCTGTTCTTTTTTGTGCCTGTATCTGTTCAGGTGGCAAAGCATCCATGTGGCAGCACCCTGTGAATGAGGAGAAGTAAAGGCTCTATCCTTGACCATCATAGATGGATCCACACAGGCAGATGAGCTACTGGTTCCCTGCTAGGGCACTGAAGGGAAGCCTCTTTGTTCTCTAGTTTCTTAAGTGCCCACCTAATCTCTCCACATTGTAAATAAAATCAAAATATACAGGAATTTATAATAAGCTTATACTCATACAATGTCCTTTGGCTCTGAGATATCCACCAGTAAAATATCATTAATTTTATTGTTTATCTCTTTTTTTTTTTTTTTTGGAGTTTTTGGCTGGGGGCCAGGTTTGAACCCGCCACCTCTGGTATATGGGGCTAGTGCCCTACTCCTTTGAGCCGCAGGTGCTGCCACTGTTCATCTCTTTGTGCATAGAGACATATTCCTATCTATCCATCTTTACATCAATTGAATCATATCATGCATGCTTTTTAATAAAATATATGGATAACATTTAATGTCACTTTTGCTTATCCTACTTTTTTTTGACTTTCTAATGTTTCTGCTCCTTCCTCAGATGATAGATAATGAAGAAGAACACTTCCAAGGTATGCGTCTGCAGACTTCACCCCCAGTGGAACCCCTGTACTTTGGTTCCTATTATATTGTGTCTGGTCCTGCTCACCTGGAAATAATTCCCAAGGTTGGTTGAATTTAAATCTAACTCAGCAGGTTTCATAGTATTTTATATTTTTTGAAACAAATGGAAGAATCTTGGCAAAATGCAACATTTTTGTTTATTAATCATAAACACACTCTTGTATAAAACTGAAAATGCAGGAAGATAGTATTAATCATATACTTCCAAGGCAGTAGTGTAGACAGAGGTCACATCTTAGTATTTGGTATACTTATTTTCTGGTTAAAATTATACATTTAGTTTACTAAGCTGAAATTTCCATTTACCTGCTATATTTTCTTTTATACATGGCATCTTGCCTAACTAAGGCACTTAGTATGTATTTGTTAAGGTAGTTGATTGAAGAGATAATTTTATATCATATATTTTATGTATTTTTAAGTAGATATTACTGTATACAAGGTCTGATAATTAAGCTCATCCTAGAAAAAGTGCTACATACTTCATTGTTGAATATCACTATAGGCACCTCCTTCAAAGCACCCTCCTTGGGAAGCTATGTACTGATGCCAGTGCCTAGTCCACCTTCCCTTTGTACAATGGCATTTTCTTCATGGCCTTATCCCTGTAAACTTGGATTAACAAATCTCAGATTTCACTTCCACTCTTGCCAAATTTAATAAGAAATTTAATGTTTGTTCACTGTTCTAATTCAAGCTGTGGCATTCTTGCAATGGCACATAAAAACAGGCAACAATGAATGAATGCCACTCAGTAAGACAGCCACATGTCAACAGCTGTGAAACACTGATATACCAAGGTTATGAAACCTTACCAAGCTATTTGTACAGCTATAGGTAAGTGCACAGTGGCAAGTTTGTGAACTTAATTGTCAGATCTGTATTTCTGTGAATTTAAATTATTCCTATATATTTATTATTTTATTAATAATATGCTATGTAGCTAAAATTCTAATGCTTTTTGAAGTACTTCCTTATTATCCAACATGTAGTTGCTTATAAGTTCTCATACAAGGGCCTGCCTGGCAAAGAGTAGTAACCAATTTAATATAATTTTATTTACCAGTAGGTTTTCAGAGAGTTCTCACCATATAATTTCTCAGCAATAAAAAATGAGATTTTCCAACACAATATGCCATTTCTAGAATAAAGTGTCAAAATTTAATTTTTTTTAGGGTGGAGGGGCAAGATGGCTGACTATAGACATTGCTTATGGGACTATCCCAGAGCTAAGGAAGGGCTTTAGATGAAGGATAGGGAAGATGGGACTCAGTTCAGGTGTAGATCAGAGAAGGAAGAACTGGAGCCTTCTGGGGACCTCACAGAAGAAAATTATAAAATAGATAAAGAAGAGGAAAAAGAAAAAAAGATATTGGTGAGGACCAAATGCAGAGAGGCTCAAAGCCCAGGGAAAGGGCAAAGGAGGATCTCTTTCTCCTTCCCACATTCCTTTGGTATTCACTGGGCTACCAAATTACTTGGAAGCTTGTCCATTCCCATAAGCTCAAGCACTGTGGCAACCATGGGATTGTGGGGGAGAACTTGCAGGAATCCAGAGGTTCTGTGCAAGGTTATCCTCTAAGGAGAGTGATTCTAGAGGCTGGATAGTGGTCTTTCTTCCATTCTGTTTAGCCTCTGCTTTCCCTGTCCCCACCTACTAAGCCTGGGAGAGCAGCTTGAGTCAAGAATTTGGTGAGTGGAGTTGGACAGGTGTGGAGATGCTTCTGGAAGGACACTGCAATGGCTGCCCAGGGAGAGCCCCAAGTCCAGTTCAAGCTTGTATTGGTTGGTGATGGTGGAACTGGGAAAACTACATTAATGAAATGCCACTTGACCAGTGAATTTGAGAAGTATGTCGCCACCTTAGGCGTTGAGGTCCATTCCCTTGTGTTCTACACTAACAGAGGACCCATCACCCATCAAGTTCAAGGTATGGGATACAGCTGGCCAGGAGAAATTTGGTGGACTGAGAGATGGTTATTACAACAAGCCCAGTGTAACATTATAATGTTTGATGTAACATCAAGAGTTACTTACAAGAACGTGCCTAATTGGCGTAATGAGTATGTGAAAACATCCCTATTTTGATGTGTGGAAACAAAGTGGCTATTAAGGACAGGAAAGTGAAGACAGAATCTGTTGTCTTTCAGTGAAAGAATAATCTTCCCTATTTTGACATTTCTGCCAAAAGTAACTACAACTTTGAAAAGCCTTTCCTCTGGCCTGCTAGAAAGTTCACTGGAGACCCTAACTTGTTGCCATGCCTGCTCTTGCCCCACTCAGCTTTGGCAGCACAATATGAACATGACTCAGAGGTTGCTCAGACAACTGCTCTCCTGGATCAGGATCATGATCTGTGAGAATGAAGCTGGAGCCCAGTGTCAAAAGTCTAGTTTTAGAGGCGGTCCTGTGACGTCAGCAGTGCAGTGTGTGTGCCACTTTATTATCTACCTAAGCAGAACATGTGCTTCATCTGGGATGCTGAAGGAGATCAATGGGTTTTGGAGTGAATGTAGTAGTTTAAAAAAATATCTTCATTGTTTGGACCTGCATATTTAGCTGTTTGGAACGCAGTCAATTCCTTCTTGAATTTCAAATATAAGATTGCTATAGTCACATCACAATATCCAGTGGTAAAATCTTGTCATTTTCATTCCAATTCCTTTTTGTTTAGAATCAGAATAAAGTTGTATTTCAAATATCTAAAAACAAAGAAATAGAATTTGATGAGTGGCTGCCTCTCCCCAGCTGGTGCATACTCAAATCTGAGGTTTCCACAGAGAGGGGAGCCCATGTCTTTTCCCTTGAGGATCTGCAGTTGACCTGGGGTGTCTGATTTGGCAGCTCCCTGCCCACTGGCATTTCCTGGATATGCATGTCACTGGGGCAGACACAGAGGCAAGACCCCATGCCCAGAGGACTTGAGTGTGCTGCCTGGAGACACAGGGGAGATTTGGGAACTGGACTTAGGAAGTAAGGGAGCTCACATGGGCAGAACTGTGGGGAAACACTGTCGGAGTCCAAGATAAGAAGATCTGGAGGAGCACCCATCCTTCCCACAAAGAAAGATATGTTGTTGGACTGGGGTGAGTCCTCTGGTGGAGTAGATCACAGACTATAGTGCCATAACAATTGAGTGTGGCTCGTTTAGGCACCTGTTTGTAAAGGATACTGGGAGGCAGGGGTGTCAAAAGGGGCAGATGGGGGCAGATCCACAACAGCCAGATGGGGAATTACAACCCCTTTGTCAAAATCAGCCTTCCTGGTTTGAAAGCCTGCCTTGACCCTCCTCCCAGTAGCTTCCCCTAGAAGCTGGATAAACAACCTTTGAGCCCTGCCATAGCTTTGCAAAGCTTTCCATGTTCACCCAGTCTAACCTGTGTTCATGTACAACCTTGTTTCTCCATCCATCTCTGCTGTGATGGAGAACAAGCAACCCCATGGGAGATTCAGGACCCCTCTCAAAGCCTGAGACTAGAGCTTACTGCAGGTGCAAAAGAACATCTTTGCTATTGGCTTTTTCCTGCAAGCATTTACCATCAACAGGGATAACAACTCTATAGCTCATTGCAGCATCTACCAACTCAATTAAACAGCTGACTCTTACTTATTTGTATTACTCACCATCTTAAAGATTAATCTGGAGATCTCAAGACAATTCATACTACTGGGAAGAGGTGAAGGTAGCAGGATAGAATTAACATGAGGGGACATTGCTTTTAAGGAAAGAAATTAAAGTTACACGCAGCTGATCTGTAATGGATCTCTCTTCTCCACTTCAGACCTTTGGATGACAAGGGAGCTTCCCAGAGTCTGTGCAGAGACATCTCACTGGAGAGCAGGTGCAGTAGAGATCTGGTACCTGCCAATCTCAGGTTTATGCAACTTACACCACTCTGATTACTCTGGTGCATGGACCCAGGTCTGGTTAGTACCCAGCCTTCTAGCTGAAGCCTTTGCATTACCTTTGGTGGGCTGAAGAGGGAACAGATGCTTCCCTTGTTGTGCCCTGTGAATAGGGCCAAGCATTTCTCCTCCTTGGTGTGGGAGTTAAACAGAGGAGGAGTTCCAGATACCACAGGCACCACTTGGGAAGCCTGGAGTACTAGATTTGGGGGGAGCACCATGGCTGACCAGCAGCTGACCTTGGGCTGCTAAAACAAACCCCTGCCTGCATTACTAGGCATTGGCAGTCCTAATTCTGGTGGAACAGAACCCATATATGTGCCTCTAATACTAAAATCCCCAGAGTTAGCTCTGTAGCTCTTGCTGTGCCTGAGTCTGGGCCTCTTCTCCTCTAGCTCCAGGGCCCCAATGGGCCTATGACTCTACCCTCAAGACTCCAGAGTTTGCTTAGAGACTCCTAGTTGTGTCAAAACCTTAATACTGAGTGCTTGCCACTATCATTGGGTCAACAGAACCTCCCCAAGGTCCATTACTTCTCTCAGGACTTCCCAGACCTGAGCAGCTGTCATTCCTGGACTTAGTTAAAGAGAGTCCCCAGCAAAGGAGAACAGGGGGACTATTAACCCAGAACTGAGAGAAGAAACAAGCAAAGGAACCCTGACAACATGAAAAAGCAAAATAACTCAACATCACCTAAGGGAACACAATAGAGCTATAGTGGTGGACTCCACACACAAGGGAATTGCCAAAATGACAGAAATGGAGTTCAGAATATGATAGCAAATAAGATAAATGGAATTAAGGAGGAAGTTGAAAAACAACAAAAGAAGCCAGGCAGCGCCCATGCTCAGTGGGTAGTGCATTGGCCACATACACTGAGGCTGGCAGGTTTAAACCTGGCCCATGCCAGCTAAAACAATGACAACTACAACAAAAAAATAGCTGGGTATTGTGACAGGCACCTGTAGTCCCAGCTACTTGGGAGGCTGAGGCAAGAAAATCACTTAAGCTCAAAAGTTTGAGCTTGCCATGAGCTGTGATACCATGGCACTCTACCCAGGGCAACAGCTTGAGACTGTCTTAGAAAAAAAATAAAAGAAAAAGAAGCCAGTAAATGTTTCAGGAAATCAATGAAAAGAATGTCACTAAAGAGTTAGTGACTCTTAAAAGAAAATCACCAGAGAGTTAGATACCATAAGAAAGGATATAACAGAACTTAAATAAATGAAAGAATCATTTAGAAAATTTCACATCAAAGCAGAAAGCTTTGACAACAGGCTAAACCAAGAAGAATAAAGAATCTCAGAGCTTGAAGACAAGGTTTTTGAGGTAAGCCAGTCATTTGAAGAGGTACGAAAGGATATAAAAATGTCCAAGAAATCACTGATATGGATATGGGACCATGTGAAGTGAACTAACATTCAAATTAGAGGTATCCATGAGGAAGAAGAATAAAGAACAAAAAACATGGGAAATCTATTTGAAGAAATTATTGAGCAAAACTTTCTTGGTATCACAAGAAATTCAAACAGACAGATACAAGATGTACTTCAAACACTGGAAAGTTTCATAGCAAATAGGTCATCTCCAAGACACATAGTAATCAATATGGCTGAAGTCAAAATGAAGGAGAAAATTCTGCAAGCAGTAGGATGAAAGCATCTAATAACCTACAGAGGAAATTCTATTAGGCTAACTACAGATTTCTCATCAGAAACTTAGAAGGAATTGGAGTCCCATCTTCAATTGACTTAAACAGAACAACAGTCACAATTGACAGAGAAATTAAATCTTTTCCAGACCAAAACCAAAATCAAAACCAAAACAAAAAATTTCCACTGAGGAAATTTGCCATGACCAAACCTGCCCTGCACAGAATACTCAGAACAGCATGATACACAATAATGTTGTTAGATTTTTTTTTCTGCTTCAGGGCTCAGGAGTACTAAGAACAAAAGACTAAGTGTGGGGAGAAGCAAGAGGATTGAATGTTAAAATTTCTCTGTTTCTTTTTTGGAACTTAAGGCTAAAGTAGAAACATGATTTTTCCAAAGTCAAACAGGTAACAAGATATAAGGCTTTTTGCAAGCATCAACTCAGTGCTCTTTTTCTAAGTATGCTTACTAGAGCAGAGAAATCTAATTAAGTGCCAGATCTTGCTCTGCTTCCATTTCTCAGTTTCCTTGATAAATTCTGTAGCAATCAATGCTAAGCAGGGGCTGCCTTCTCTAGATGATTGCTTGTCCTTCAGGCAAGATATGTTCTTGGTTGTGGCAGGACCTTCCGTAACCATTGGCAATATGGAGATAAATGAGACAGAGTTTTCCTTCAACAAGAATATAATACAGTAAATACGAAATAAGAAATGGCAATTGCAACATGAAGTAATAATCCTGAGCAAGATAAAATTGCCTCACAGTCATCTTCCATTTAAAAAGATTTAGAACCAAAAATCTTACCTCTTACAATATGTAAATTCTTATTTATTTTCCAAGAGCTGTGGGACTTTTTTCCTAAAGGAACTATAGATTTGCATTAGCTTAACTTTTCTTAATTCCATCCTATTTAAGAGATAAGCGCCCACTCTGGAAGGCAGCCACTCTTAGGACCCTGGGAGCGGTGTGCAGAGCAGAGAGAGGGACCTGAAAGCGCAATGGCATATCTGATACTTGGCTTTCCAGAGTGGCTGACAGAAACCTGATGAAGTTCCGTTGACTGCTCACTTCTCTGTAGAATCTCAGAGTCTGACCTGGTGGCACCATTAATGAGGGGCCTCAGAACCTAATTCTTTCCTATTTAGTCAGTAGCTCCAATAGTTTTTCTCTTAATCATGTTTTGAGAACCAGGTTACTCTTCCTTTCATAGAATAAAAACATTTCCTAATATTGTAAATTTAAAATGACCTTGCTCCATCTCTTTCCCCCTCAACCAGCTATGAGATTGTGCAGAAAACAGGGTTTTGTCCTGTTGGGCAGGTCACTATAGGGGCCCATTTCTACCCTTTACTGATTCAAGTCAAGTGCTGTGTTTCTTCTAGAAGTTGAAATTGTCCTATAGGAGCCCCAGAGAAATCCAGCCCTTCTCTAAATTCTATGCTGGGCAGATGAAGGAACCAATTCAACTTGAAATTACTGATGAAAGACAGAAGTCTTTGGTTTGGAACACTGTGGTGAAGCCAGGTAGGTGAAGGGGTGAGGCTGACATTTTTGGAGAGGGAAAAGTCATGCCTCCACCCTTGTGTGCAGCAAAGTAGATCAAACAAGAAAGTCTGTATGTTTTCACTCTAGAGAGGAAAATATGTCCATTGTCAGTTCATAATCAACATGAGCAAAGTGAAGGTAGACACAATCTTATCTTTATAAGAAGAGGGAGCCTGGGAGTGGGAAGGGTTGTGAAAATGGAAACTCTTATCCAGGGTGTAAAAACAGGAGATTCTAATAGTCAAAAGGAACATAGAGACAATTTAGTTCCTCGTTGTCTTTCTCTCTCTCTCTCTCTTTTTTTTTGAGACAGAGTCTCACTTTGTCACCTTCAGTAGAGTGTCATGGCATCATAGCTCATAGAAACCTCAAACTCCTGGGCTCAAGAGGTCCTCTTGCCTCAGGCTCCTGAGTAGCTGGGACTATAGGCTCCCACCACAATGCTCACCTATTTTTTTAGGAACAGGGTCTCCCTCTTGCTTAAGCTGGTCTTGACTCCTGAGCTCAAGGAATTTACCTGCCTTGGCCTCCCAGAGTGTTAGGATTGCAGGCATGAGCCACTGGCCTTAGTTCCATTTTCTGCACAATTTAACAATCAATTCTATACCCACACTTCTTAATTTTGGGGTGTCATATTCTTTTAGACAATCTGATGAAAAAGCTTATAAAATGTTTTATTCTTTCACTCAAAGTCAACATCATAAACATAATTTCACAAAGTGGGAACTCCCAGGAAACTTGCCAAAGATTTGCATATAGGTCTTTGAATTTATGGACACACACACACCCCCATACCCACACATCTACAATACTTGCAAAGGCCACCCTCTGTTTGAAAATCTACAAATGAAGCAAAAATCAATGTCTTTTTTTTTTTTTTTTTTTT